TGGAGGCCGTGTTCGAGGAGAATCAGGTCGCTAACCCCGAGGAGTGAGTCGGATTTGAGCAATACATCGAAATAACACTCGCTGACCGCAGAGTTACAATAGATTCAGAACGCAGTTAGCGAATCTGTCTCCCAGCAACTTGCACCCTTCTGTGGTCTTCCTTACGTCCGAGAACGTGAGGATGCCCATTGAGGCAGTAGTCGGTATGTTTTTGCGTCTGCTTTTGCTGAATGGTATTCATCAGGCGTTTCAGCCGTACCAACTCCGCAGGAACATGGCTCGCTGTACACCATCTCACCAGACGTTTATCTTGATATTAAGCTGGAGAAGAACAAGAATTGGAAGGAGGAGGGAAAGGAGCAGGAGGATTCGAAGCGTCGCTACACCTTCAAGCCCATGTTCTCACGCTCGCCTTCGAGACGGCATAGCGGCACTCCAGAAGTTTGAATGCATTGTGACGTTTGATTGAGACTTGTATTGCCAATAGTATTCACTATTTATGTACCGTGACAAATGCTACGTCAATTCTCGACGTCACTATGTCTTCAGAGTGATTTTGGCGCCGGTCAGGCAAGAGGTAACGTCCCGGGAAGCCCTGAGCGACCTGGAGAACTCCGACGCCAGCCTTCGCTTCTAGTCCGCAACTCTCGGCGGCACCGCGGGAACACCGCCTTCTCTCCAAAGGAAGAGGAACAGTGGACAGAGGAGCTGGAGAAAGCACTCGAAGTTGATGCGGGAACGCGACGACGAACACATCCCTCTACTAAGGCGAGTGAATCGGTCAACTTGATTGCAACAGTTGTATGCCTTGTGTGTGCAAACAATGCAAAGAAGAAGGCCAAAACGTCTAGTTATAAACCACGGTAGGCGTGAGCGACGTTGGCAAAGACGGGTAGATGACGTGACGAGATTGAATAAGCGAACGAGTCTCACGAGGCCGGGCCAAGATGGGTTTCCCGAAGCGCCCCAAAAACGAAGACCTGGGAGACAGGACGTTCGAACATCGGTGAAAGCTTACGGTTGGAAGCCGCGCTTGATGCCGAACTCGAAGAGGGGAGGGGAGCCGGCGTCCCTGCGCCAGCCGCACGGCGTGGCTGCGTCGGGGCGGTGTCGCGGCCGCTCGTCGCGGAGGACATCGCGAAAGAAACCGGTCATCCAGAGTCGGAGGAGGCCGGCCATCGAGCGCAGCGTGGTATACTGAAGTTCTACGCCCGCGTTACACTATCTCGCGCCGCTCGCTCAAGCGCCGTCCGGCGGCGGCGCGCGGGCCGCCGCTTTCGTGGCCGCAACATACTCGGCGCGACGGAGAGTCCGCTCAGACGGGCGGAAGCGGCGGCGGCGGGCGGAGTCACGGACGGCTGTGTAAGGGCTTGCGAACCGGTGACATTTTCGAGACGCACGTGGACTATCGCACAAAGCGGTTTGATGCCCGGTATCACGGAGAAAGCGGGGCGCCGTCCTCTGTCTCGCGGTCGTCAGCCACAGCGCCGGAGATGCCGCAGGGGCTGGTCCGCGTTAGCCGGCGCGTCGTGAGCGCACAGTCCAGTCCTGAGCCGATGCTCCGCTAAGAGACCGACGACCGTCGTTCACGGCGTGGCGTGGTCTGCCGTAGAAGCGAACACGAGATCGCGCAGCCCCGGAATATTACCCAATTTGGGTGATCATATCTGGTGCACATTCACGTAAGTTACATGATTGTAACGAAGTCGAATGTATAATAGGTTGTGGTGCTCTCTGATGTGGACAGGGTATAGTAGACTGCACCATGCGACCGCATAGTGTTGCCGCGACATAACAGTGCTATGGGATAAGATGGGAGCTGGGTGGAGCATCGCTTCCGATGATATGAGATGATATGATTTTGGAGCGATATGGGTATCGCTGGTGACAGCAGCGCCTGACGCGAGCTCAGAGCGATCCGCGCCGCGGTCCGCTGATGCCGAGGTTCACGCGCCCGACACTGATCGGACTAAGTTCGGGCGCTGACAAATCCTGCCGAACCTGACTCGTCACCGAGACTCAACCAAGAACTACCACACCACACCTCATTCCCAACTGCGCCTTCATCCGGACACTCTCTCGCTACTTCCCGACTCACGCAACTGGTGTTATCGATACATATCAACGAAACTATGGACGCGCAAGAGGCAGCACACAGGGCCACTGAACTCAAACTGCGGGAAGACATCGCGCAACTTCAACACGAGAAAGCGGTCCTAAAGAGAAAGCTGGACACGGACATAGCCAGTCTCGATGAAGAATGGAGTAATTCGCTTGCGGACGTCATACGTATAGGGCGTCAGGAACATCATAAAGTCATGGTGGCAGTGGAGAAAGAGGCTGCTCGTTATGAGGAGAAGCTCGCGCAATTGAGAGCCGTAAGTACGTTGCCTGGGTTATTCTAGCAGGACTGAGTGCATCAATAGGAACTTGAGCACGAGCAGGCATCTCGGCAGCACTTGCAAAGCGAGAATGAACGCCTGCGCGCGAGCTTGAAGTGTCTTGGAGCATCGGAAGCCTCGTAGAAAGTGGTAGCGAATGCAGGACACGGCAGCCCGATCGATTCCAATGCTAGTGAGACGTCAATCAATAGCGGTCATCCGGCGTTGGCTCACATTGCGCTGATAGCAGATAGGTGATGGTCAGTGAACCTGTATCTGGAACGGGGACCCTTGTCCTCGCTTCTTCCTGCGTCCAATCTATGACACCTACTCCATGTAAACAGTGCTGAGCATTCAGCTATATTTGCTCAGAATGCTACATCTTGCTCAGGTCAGCGACCTCATTCGGGCCTTGATCGATGATCTCTCCGCTTTCACAATCGCATGGTGTTCGCTACTGCTATATTATAATGACAAAGTGTCCTATCTACTCGTGTTCAACGAGGTGGAACTTGATGGCCTTACAATAGCCATTGCCCTTGTGTATGACCGCAATGAAGCCTGCGCGGCGAAGAGACGAACTCCGGCACGCGCGAACGAGGTCCCGTACACGGGCGACAACATCGCCATTGAGGGTAATCGTATAGGCCTCGTCGATGAGACCTGCTGTATTGATCGGGTCGACTATTTCCCAATTATCCTCCGGCGCGTCAGAGATTGGCTCGGGATCGGCTCGGACAAAGCCTTGAGTGCAGTCTGCACGGCAATGTTGATTACGTGCGGAAAGCAACTGTATATGATAGATCAGCTACACACGAGTATACGAAGACAAGAGGACGCCAACCGTATGTGGTTGTTTTGCTTGTGAAAGCTGATCTTGAATCAACGCCACAGGTCTCCATCATCGCCGTATTATTGGAGGCGTTGTCAGTAGTGATACAACCGATCTGGTAAGTGTAAATCAGCGCGATGAATGACAGAGAGCGCAAGGCGAAGTTACCTTGTGCAGAATGCCAAATGGCTTTATAACCTGTATGAATGCCTCTACGAGGTGCTCGCCAGTGTGGCTACCCGGCAAATGACGGAATGCAAGCAGGCGGGGCCGATACGTGAGGTTGAGCCTTCCATCGTCGCCGGGTGTACGTACCCAGTAGTGAGCCGTGACAGCCATGTATGGCTTGAACTGGGGATCGCTCCAAACATCGGTCGTGAAGGAGATGCGAGAGATCGCGTCCTCCTGACAGAAGATCAGCACTCGAGCCACAAACCCACATACCGACCTGCAGTTCGTGGACCAGTTTGCGATACTGCGCAGAGAAGAGCTCGTATATGAACTCCGTGATCTTCGTGCGGTGAGGGATGTCTTCACCCGTCAACTCTGCATTCAAATACAACAGGAGATCACGAGACTCCGCGCACTCGACGACATTCATAGCCTGCGTTCGCAATCAGTCTTCGAACATGTATCGCGCACAGATCACAAAAAGGTATACCTGATCGTCGACAACAATCCAGCGAGCAAGCCGGAAGATGAAGCCCTATAGAGTGAAGTCGGTCTCCGCATCGGATGGGGACGAGACGAAGAGGCAGGTTCCGGCGAGGACGATGAACCTTGCGCTGAAGCGGGCGTCCGAGCGGCGATGCTTTCCCACCCCCTTCAAGCGCGCTCTTGCTCTTCGAGGTGGTACTTTTGCATATGGTCTCTTATAGCGTAGGTTTGAGAATGTTTGCCGATTACGTGCCAGGACGTCCTAGAAGGAGGTTCGTCAGCACAGAAGATTTAAGACAATTGTCCACAATAACTCGCCTGCACTCCGGCTTGTCATTGAAGATGCACCCGACGTAGTCATAACCCGACGGCTCCACACAGAGCCGCTTGCCATCTCAGCTGACCGCCGTCGTCTTTCGATCGGGCTCCAAAGGGCGGGTGAACAGCCAAACATGACTAGCGGGTAGTAGAAGTGTCGCGTGAAGGGAACGCGCGCGTTCGGCGGGCGAATCGGGCTTTTGAGGAGACTGCGGAGCCGGGGATAGAGGGCGCATCGTTCTAAGAATCGGCAGAAGGAGGGTCAGGCCGGCGTCTGACAGACCGTGGTTGTGGGGTCGTCGTGGGACCCCTGCGCTTGCGCTTCAGTCCCGTTTGAGCTGATTGGGCGGGTATCGCGCTATTGGTGGTGGCACCGGCGCATACGTGATTGTTCTCCTCTGCGCGCGCTCTTCTGGATGGTGACGTGTGTACCGGGAGGAGGACTGGTGGTGCGAGCGGGGTCTGCGGGCTGTTGCTGTGAGGCCTGCCCTGTCGCAATAGCCTCCGCGTACTGGGCTGATTGGTGGGCGAAGTCGTATGCTCCCCGCACGTAGGACTCCTGTACTGCTTACAGTGTAAGCACTCTTGACACGGTGACGGATATGATGCGGTCAATGAAACGGTTGCGGCGGCGGCAAGAACATGGAAGCGCCTTGTACGAATGCGGACGCCTCTTGAAGGTCACGCTGCATAGAACGGTGACCGGCTTGATTGGAGAGCGTAGGCGCCTGCTGAGCATATGCCTGCGACTGACGAGAAGTAAGATGAGCGTAAGTTGGTTGCGCCGACTGGCAGATACAGTGGCTGGCTGCATAATTGCAGCCTCTGTACCTCATGTTCGTGTAAGACGACATGACGGGAACGGAGCGCGAGCAACAGAAAGTACCCGTAGGTTCATTACCTCGTAAATTTATATACCAGGAGCAGCCCGCCCAACGTTGAAGACCGGTGTGTTGTAGCGCGTCGTTGCCAGAGACCAGCATTCGTTGCGTCATCCAATATATGCAAGGTTATTCGGATGTCTACCTAGTCTAGACAGCAAGTGTCGGTGAAGAGGAGGTCTCGGAATGAACTACTAGTAAGTACAGGATCGATACTCAAGCCTTACGCTCACACTACGGTGGAGGAAGCTTCGAATGTTTGGGCGTGAGGCTCGTGGTGGTCGACGCACAAGTGATGACGCGGCGCGCACATGGCGGAGCGATACGGGCGATATGATAGCAGTTTGCTGCTCCACCTCGTAGCATATCATCTCGAATCACCGCGATTTCGTGGCAACACTAATGTCATTGGGCGATCGTCCGGTGATTGCCGAGATCAGTCTGATGAGCTTGCTTGAAGTCTGTTGACAGGAAAGGCACGACTTCGGTGACAACCGCCATGTCACTAACAACTATACCCCTAGAACTATGGCAGAATATCGCTCTTGAAGTTGTGGCGGACGTCATCTCCACCCGCGATATCCGTTCCGGTTCCTTAGCCTTACCCGACAGTCTATTGGCGCCCCTCGAGCCTGATTCCTTTCGCTATCCTGGAACATTTGAGGACTCGACTGAGCAGAATGATGTCCGGCCACGCGGATTTCACACCGATGCTTGCATCTACGAGACTACTTCCAACCCGGTACCGAGCCAGGCGCACTGGTACGGCAAAAGCAAAGATTCCTCACCGATATCCGTGGTCGCCTCATTGCTGGCCATTGATCGGCGCCGGCGACAGGCCCTGTACGATCTCCCCGAATTCTGGGAGGGCGTCGCGCTCTTGATTCCCGCCGCCACATCGCATGCCTTGAAATGCACAGACCGGCGACCTGGCATCTCATTGGACTTTACGTCCCACCTTCTTCTATGCCCTTGCATGCTGAAGATGTTGAAGCCGCGTCTTTCCAAAGCGACTCGCATTGACGTCGCCTTTTCTGGTGAACTCTCGGGCAACACCAATCCGTCGTGGCTCCTGGGACAATGGCTGGGTTCTCTTCCCCATAGCGGCCTCCAACATCTTGAGCATCGCTACGCCCTCAGCAACCAGCTAGACTGGTCTAGCATGCTGTATCGCGAGCACCGGGAGTTGCAGATTGAGCTGGCACTGAATCCTTCAACCATCTTGTGGGGTGGCGCCCTCCGCCGATTGAGTCTGGCGGCGGAGAGACGGGATCGTGCTATACCTGCGGATGAGCTACTTCTCCTTCTTACTCGTTGTTTATCGCTGGAGGTGCTCGCGCTGCAGATGGTATTGGCTCCCTTTGATGATACGCCTCCCGTGGCGTTGCCAGTATCTCTGCCCCACCTCCGATATTTTCTTCTCTGCGGAGAAATCGCGGAATGGCAGTCCGTGTGGCCGAAGATCGCCATCCCGGAAACCGCTTCTGTTCACGCCGACCTCATCTTACCACGACTCGACATATTCCTTGATTCTGTTGATCGCTTTGTTGCAGAGGCAACAGTGAACTGCCTGAATGGGCCGGGATTTCCATCGTGCCGGGTTGTGATCTTGCACTACCAAACGAAGATCCCAACAGATCGGCCTCCTGACGACGAGTCCCCAGAGCTGGTGACCCTCACGTTTGCCGCCACTGAGGAGGAGGCATGGGCGGAGAAAAACCCAGAACACTTGTCTCGCCGGTGGACATTTACCGTTCGGTTCCCTGGGGGGGTCCTCGACACGCGCTACCCGCCGGGCCCGGGAGAGGACGGCATGAACGTCGGCAGAGTTGCAAGCCACGAGCTACTAGTGAGCTCAATATGCTGGGGCATTGAGAACTCGGCGGCCCAGATCCCAGCTGTTGATCTAAAGACCACCGAGGTCTTGATCGTCAAAGCCGGTGGAAGGCTGCGTCACATGGTGGACTTCTATCATCTGACGCCCCATTTTCCCAACTTGAAGGACCTCGTCCTGTATGGAGTCTTCAACAGAGATAGTTATGCTCTAAAAAGCACCATACGCGAGCTCAGAGATGGAACTTGGAGAAGCGTGGAGCGCGTTTGTCTGCCGGACTACGAAGGCTCAGGATGGCGCATGGACGGGTTTAAGGACCAAGAGGACCGGCAAGTCCGGTTTTCACCTTCGTTCACTAACGATGACGGTGCGCCGGGTGTCCATATTTTCCATTACTGGTTAACTCACATATCTTACGAGTGTGTAGTGATACACCCTTTTCCGCTCTGAGGACGTATCCGCGCCACATCTCGCGATGCGCGTCCGACCACATCGGCCTTATCGGTCTTCCGCATGCTCACCTTCACCCTCATATTTACTTCCGTACCACTCTCCTCTCCTATATTCGTCACTCTACCCTACGATTGGCTATCTACAAGACATCCCTCACTCTGGGCCCTTCTGGCCTTTGCTTCTCCTATTTCATGACTCATTTCTTACTTGCGTACATATACTACGAGCCTCGCGATGTACGTACAGGAGATTCGGACGTTACCTGGCCTCCGGGCCACCGAATACCATCCCCAGCGCTTCCCGCTCCTTTCCTGAGGTTCGCGCGCAGGTCGCCCGGACCCTCGCACACACAGATAGCCTACATGTCGTCTACGCGACGTCGAGCCTGTCAGTAGACTATGACTGACGGAGTGAAGCGGTTTGGGCGCCCGGACGCGCGGGACAAGACGCGTCTCGGCATTCGCCGTGATCCGCTCACGCGCGCGGCCCCTTGCGGCACCTCTCCTCCCTCCGACCTCCTCCCTAGCGTCTCCGCGTACGCCCCCGCACTCGGTCGACTCTTACGATGTTTGTACTGCACCATCTGATACGGGTATTTAGACTCGCTCTGAAGCAGTCGCGGTTTGCCTTCAACGCCGGCTTAGCACATTAAGAGGTCTAGTTGGTAGAGCTCGCAGCATAGCGACTAGTTTTAGTATCAGATGATGAAATCTTTGCGTCCATCATCACTGTCAGGTCTCTGGTACAATAAGCGTAGACCAGGGTAACGGGGCAGCAGCTCGTCGGCCGCATGGAAGCAGCGAGGAGTAGCAAAAGACAACCCATAAGGAACTCATCAAGCTGATAATAGCTACCGTGCGAATTAGACACGCCCCGATTCCATGCCAATGAACTGAGCGAGTGGCAGAGAACCTAGTGATCACCTGGTCTGCTCTCAGCAATTCGCACGCGGCGACGCTTGCACCGCACGCGGCTTCGGGTAAGCCGGCGCAACCGAAGCTCTTCACGCATGTCCTCACATACCCGAGGCTCTTCTACGTACGCCCATTTGCGCACGTGCTGTTTCTGTAGCAGAGAGGGGAGCGTACGTGGTACAGGGCTGGCATCTCATTATGTCTGTATCTACAAGCGAAGCCCTACGCGTCTGCGTAACTACATTATATGTACAGGGCGTCAATGAGGTCCGAGACCTCCGGCGCTGGCGGGCATTGCGCGCAGGCTTATTTACTTCGCTCCATTGCGGGCTCCGTGCGTCCCCCGCCGGCTTCCTGAACTCGCAAGGCCACAACAACATCCATGGTCATGCCCAGTTACCTCACAGTGAGGTCAAAAGTGAATAGGTCCGCGATATATCCAAGTGTTGGCAGGCCGCACAAGGGAAATATGCGTCGGACGTCGATCCGGTTGGTTTATCCCACCTTATTGAGTCAAGTCCTGTAAGCCAGCCGATGTATTGCACCCTTCCCGTTACCAATATACTGTCTCAATCATTCTCCCGACAGCGTTTCGCTCTTGAGCAGGCAATCGCAGCGAAGTGCAAGACTAGCATCGCGCCCAAGAGTTAAAACTTGGCCGTGCGACATATCACACAGGATGCGCGCACCTCTCGATTGCAGGGCAGAAGTGCGCTTAAGCGCCCGCGGAGTCCCGTCGTCGACCCAGATGGTATCCGGAACTAGAGGATAAGCTCTTGCACGAGCAAAAAGTGCGCAGTTGATACCTGCTCTTTCAGGACGAATTGAGCTAAGACTCGCAGTTATTCTGGAAGGTGGTAAAGAATGACTATCTCCCCCCCCAGGATAAAAGAGACACAGTCGGCACAGGAATGGGATGAAAGCCTCCAATCGCATATCAAAGGCGTTATACGGCTAAACAGCTCCCGCAGATAAGCTTGTATATGCGCAGTTACCTACCCCAGTTCAGAAAGGTTGTCAACGCGTGGTCTATGGGCCAGGGGAGGGTGGCGGTATGGGTCAATTCACCTTCTGAGACGCGCTTCGTACGGCGTCACGCGTCAAGCTTCCAGTCGCGTCGGGCGACAAACGCCGTCACGCCGAGCTCTGCTTCAACCGCGGCCACCACTTGTCTCACTTAATTTCTTCGCGCCACTGCCTGCGCCTCTTGGTTCAACCGCCCGTGCCCCTACGCCAAACGCATCGCAACTGACCTAAACCTATGTCTATACTGTAACCGCCAAAGATCGAAGCCCCCGCGAGGTCATCAATCGCGTGCCGGCGAGCCCGGCAAGGTCAAAGAGGACGGGGTTATCAGCGAGGGTCCGGGGTGGCGCCGTCGCTCGCCGAGCAATGATCCCGATATCCACCCTGCGACGTATCCCGAGCCTCATGGGGGTGGGCATCCGTGGTTTCATGCGGAGAATGTCGTTGAGCCAGAGCGGTTGGAAAGGATGGCGGAGTTCCACGGGGGTGTGCGGAAATATGATCAGGAATCGGAAAGGATGACATGCGGAGTGGGAAGTTCCAGAATCAAAACAGTACGTCTTGTTTCACGCGTTGAAGTCTGCATTGGATACTTATGCCCCGCCTATATCCTGCGGCGCAGTTAAGGCGTAAGATGTCGCCGTTCTCTATCAACCACCGCCGGCTCGTCGTTCTCCCCTTCGCGTTCCAACCGGCCGTCCAGCGTGGCTTCGATCGCAATGACGAGGTCATCTCTTCCAAAAGTCTCCAAGCGGCACGCGCGGTCGTTAACATCCTCTTGGCTCTCTTTCTCGGGTTCGGATACCTTCGCTACGCACCTACAGGCCACTTTGTCTTCGGCGCATTCGCACGCGCGTTATTGCTCAAGCTTTTCTCTCCCCGGTGCCATATCTTCGCTCGCGATCGTGGAAAGCATTCTTGATATCAAGACCACCGCCGATGACACCCACTCGGGCGGTCAGGACTGCCACAAACGCCTTGTCAACCACTGGACGAGTGCCGCCACTGCGGCCCCACAACGAGATTGGGAGTTGCCCTGGCCGGTATGGCTGCCACCAGATGAACGAGTTGTTCGGGCTGTCGCGACCCATGATAGGAAAGTGGGAGTAAAAAGACTGTGTGCGTTTCTTGTTTTCTATGAGGGTTGAGGGATGATCAGGAGAACATAGCAAATGAGGTCGTGTTGGAGGTAGACTCAACGATGATCGCACGAAGGCATGGGCCGGACGGTCGTCGCCTGTCATCGTGCCCAGCACGTGTGAACTGGCGCGGACCCCGCCTCCTTTGTTCTCGTAGTACCTCCATCTCATCCCTTATCGAGTTCACGCTCATGCCAACTGCTCTTCAGATTCTCGCTCTGTGCCTGTGTACACGAGATTACTGTGAACGGTATCCAGTTCGGGATCGGAGGTGCCGCCGAGGTAGACATGTCCTCCGCGTCCACTGTCGCGTGTGTGGTCTTTGACAACGACGAACAACTCTCACACATTCGACGATGTGTCCCTCACCATCGGTGCCTCGTCTACGAGCCCTGCGGCCCATGACATCTATCAAGATATGTATATCTCCTCGCAACCACTCCTTAAACCTTCAATACGGTGCGCAGGAGATGGTTTCCGGGCGATCTTGGACGATGCCGAAGACTCTCAACTCCTTTCCGTAAACTATGTACCCTGTACGGTGATAGACAGCCCATATATGCCGTTTTGCTCTCTGGGATGCACGCATGGCGCGTCGGTGGTATCGATTGCGATCGCGATGCACGGTGACACGGTTGTGGATCGTGACAGTCATTTGCATCTTGCTGCTGCCCCGCACGATCTCTTCATATGACTGCAAAGTAGCATTCAACGTTTGTGTTACGGCGGGGTACCACAAAGACGATAGTAGTCACCGGTGCCAAGAAGTAACGTCTCTCCGCACGACCGACCGAACGAAGCGCATTGCCGCGGCGCTGCGATGAGCGCAGCCGGCATGCCCCGTAGGCAATAACTCCGACATTAGCACTGCGTGCGATCCATCGCTCGGAGGAGACGTCGCCGTATTCCTTTGGAGAGGACAAGGAGAGCATTGCGTAGTGCGAGCGGTACGTTGGCGCCATGCGCGCCGCACGTAGATCGCTCTGTCGCTCAAAGTTTTTACCCCTGCCGCCGTTCCGCCGCGGTCCCTGCAGAGCTCCGCAGACGCCGGATCGGCCGAACGAGGACGGGGGCCCTTCAATCCCGCCCAATCCCGCATCCCAAATTAACATGGGGACGCACAACGTCCGACGCTATCAAGCTTCTTGCTCAAAATCGCCTCAGCGCGTTGAGGGGTGATGAGGAATAAATCATCTGAGCGGGCAGTTACCGCCGACGGTCTCGGGCAACAAGACCCTCCCGCTTCTCCGTGACTCCGAGACTGGCAAAAATGCAGCGAAGATACATTATTGCGTCAAAATCCAGCATAGAAGAGGTACATGACAAATGTACACGCAAAACAGGAGAAATGAAATGCCTTCAAGAAAGAACGACTTGATCCACACTCGAAACGGGCACGACGTTGTTCTCCAGCAGAAACTCTTTAAGGTACGTTGCGGTGTCAGCCTTGAGCGTAGCGTCAAATAGAGACATTAGGGGAGACCACTCTTCAACGAATATGTGAGCGAGGCGCTTGAGCTTGGCTCGGTCCGGTGGCCCCGAGTCCTTCCGCACCTTGCGGCCCGACCGAAGCTCCGTGACGGACTCCGCTTCCTCCTCATCCTTCAGATCCACGAGCAGAGACCAAAGGAACTGCAGCGGCACGTCTTTGTGCGGGCGGTTGCGGTGTATGTCTGTATACGTAACGTAATGCCCACATACCGCGAAGACGCGAACCCTCTCCTGACGCTTGCCTGCCTCCGTCCTCAGGTAGAGAGCGGCTTGGAACGACCCCTGCTGTTTCGCCTTGGCAATCATCTTCTCAGTCGCCAGCTTTCCCTGCTCGGTGAGCTCGTCGTTCGGCCCCATCTTGGCCTCGCTTCGTGGCGGAGCCTTCTTAACCTCCCCGATGATAGGCACGAAGTGGTCGTGCAGTTTGTACATGATTCTCCTCGCGGCTGGCGCGCTCTACGTACAACATCAGCAAATGACGAACACATCCCTCAAACTACCAACATACTGCAGGACGGAACATGCGACACAACGTCACGCAATCGGGGCGGCAGGCACGCAGGCACTGGCGGTCGACATGGAGGGTCTTGTCTCTGGCGTCATCTTTGACATCAGCGAGAAACGGTACTTTCTCAGTGATGCCGCTGTCATGCACGCGCCCCGCATCGAAAGGAGGCGCCGGTTGTGCCTCGGTAGACGGGAGCAGTTGGCTTGAGGACGCCGCGGCTGGTGTACGGCCCACACGCAAGGGAATACGGCTGGGTTTCCCGGCAGATTCCGGCGCTGGCTTGACGCGAGCGGGCAGATCGAGAGGGGACGTAGGGTTGGCTAGCGCATAAGCCGCATACCAGAGGTCGTGCTCTTGTTGCACGCAGAAGAGGCGAGTGGGGACCGCGGTGAGGATGTCCTCGAGGACCCTCTGGAGCACTATCCTCCACAAGAACTCCAGATTCCTGCTATTTATTTGGTACGAGGCGGCGGCTATCTGGTCGAGAATTATGTCGAAGTGCCGCCGGCTCAACCGAGAGGGTAGGTTCTCCAACAATCTCTCCTATCACTTGTTCAGACGTGAGAGACACGCTGCAAAAAACGTCGCACCATCTCCGCGTATACTTCGCCATCCTCGGATGAAGCGATCGCCTTCCAGAGAAAGTGAGTGAATCGCAGTGCGTGCAACAATCAGTACGAACATGGAGGATGAACAACAGGAAGTCCTTCCTCTTCATGAAGGTTTCCTTGACCTCTTGGAAGTCGGCCTCAGTGAAATGCTGAATTACAGAGTTAGATCTATTAACGCGTCGCTGCCCACCGTTATGACTGACCGGAAGCAGAGCTTTCAATAATTGTCGTCTCTCTTCAGGCGACAGACCGGCAACATCTATTTGGGACGCCATGCATAGAGTAGGGGGACAGAGTCAAGTGGTCGAACCAACGCGCTCGTACGGGCGTAGATGACCTGGCGATCCGGCGCTTGGTCGGAGCATCCGGCGTAGTGTACAAACGCGACGCAGTCCACTCCTCAGGCTGAAGTTTGACGGATGAGGAAGCCAAAGCGCGCTCCGCTGCCTTCTCTGAGCGCCCCCAAACACAATCCATGAGAAGCGTGAACACTCCTTTCAAGGCCCCGTCGATCTCAAAGCATATACAGAGATCCAAACAGAACCCGAGGACGGGTATATTGTATGTGCGCTGCCACACAAAGGGCGAAGAGATACAAATCTGTTCCAGACTTATTCGGTAACCGTCTCGTTCACCGGGCTCGTTTGAGAGCGGGTGTTGCGCCATTCGCGCGACGCACCTTTCGGCTGATTCGCAGGATGACCAGAGAAGCGTCGACGGTCGCAGACACTTTCCGTTATCCATCGTGATGTATGCAAAGAGATGGAACTCAGTCAATATGACGTCAAAAGGAGCCAGGAATATCCAATTCCTCCACAAGGGTAAAGCTCAAGTAGGAAGAGCTGCGGAGGCTCAACGAAAGCCCGTCTCGGCACGTCCGGCAAGCGGGCGCCGAACATTCTATGGCGTTCTTCGATCCTACCATCAATCATTCTCGTGATCATACTCTCATCAAGGGCCAGGCGAGGCGAGGCGAGGCGAGGCATGGACGTGCTTACGCGTGTCGGTTGCATCCGCAAACCTGGAAGAGTTGCTACGGGTTGAACTTCCGCGACGAGCACTTTGACCATTGTGGAAACACCCATCCCTTCTGGTCTGAGACTGCCGATGCGTAGCTAGTTATCTTCAACCGCTACAGAGGCGTATTGGTCTGGAAAAATGTACAGGGCGGGGAGTTAGGGCCACGCCGGCCATCACCGCCGCACGCGAGAGCCATGCTGACGCCGGGCATTCGCGAGCACAGCGCGGTCTTAAGTATAGTCATTTATTGGTCATTTAGTGACACTTGTCGATCATTAGCAAGCCCAAGGGATTCAGATGAGGTTCCTGAGGGCATTGCGATGCGAACACGCAAAGACAAAGGGTCCTCGCTATCCGCGTGTAGGACAATATGGCCTTCTGCTGCATCTAAGAGACACTAGTATAGGCACTACCGGTGACCGGAGTTGCTTCACAGCGGGTACATGAAAGCGTGAACCTCAATAGGCTATCGCCTAGGTGTCGGGTCGTGATTGAATCAAGGCATCTTTCTGCCGGACTCGCACTCCACGCTAACCGCGGAGAGCGAAGCTACGCAGTAGCAATTTCCTCTACTCGTGGGTCTCGCGAGCGTTAAGCGACGTGTGAGCGACGCCAGTCATTGGTTATGGGCCCGCCGAACATCTTTTCCGAGTCCAAAATTCGCAAATCTCGCGCTCAAGCGTATGCCGCGAGGTAACAGGAATATGGGGATTCCAGGAAATCGCATGGGACGGGCAGGGGAGGTCAGAGAAGGCGACGAGGAAAACCCTCAGGCCTCAGGACTGGGCTTCTGTTGGATCGCTTGATTTAATTCACTCACTCACAAGTGCTTGCTCAGCGTGCGTGCGAGGATGCCGGGTAATCGAAGAAGCTGAGCGTATCAGGGAAGGGCTTCCGAGAGCACTCGGCACTGATATGCCCGCGGTCATCCAGAGCTGTAGCGCAGCAGATTCCCAGCAGGGCGACGCGAGGTGGCAATTCTTTAGACTTGTTATGAGCACTCAGAAAGTTCTGAAAGGCGGGCCATCCCGAACAAAAGCAACCTTGAGATGCGGTCGAGGAGCTAGCCGTTGATCGAGATCGCCGCGATGTCGGTTGTGTAGTTCCTTCAAGCCGCACGGCCGCAGGGCCAGAAGCTTAAGTCGGCCGCGTCCCGCGCGAAGGAAAGGAACACAATAAGATACCGCGGGGCGGGTCCCGGTGGCAACACGTGACGGTGGTTCGTTCGTCATATAGGTGCAAACGGCTGCTAGCGCTGTCTTCACCAACACCCGACCCTATCCTGCCTCCTCAGACGATTTCGCCATGACCGAAGTCGAATACAGAATCCCAATCCTTGAAGACTCGTGAGTAGCCCTTCGTCAGGATACCGACATTCATCTGACCCGATTAACAGACAACCCGGTCTTGAACCACCACCCCCTATTCCGGGTAATCACCCAATACGTCGGCGTGCCCTATATGGCTGGCGGTTCACCTACGACAAGCTCTTCGAAGCGCACGAAGGTCCCGAGGACGGTGACGAGGATGACGCCCTCGATATCATCTTCGAGGCGGCGAAATCCGTCAACTTGCTTCACCTCGTCGACGTCTATGAGGACATCATTTGGGTCTCGCGCAACTACCTCAGCCGCTACCGCGGTACCATACACGCCGGCGGTCTCTCCTTGATCCCGAATAGCGAGAGAATGCGAGCGCTCACAGATGCCCTCAAGCTAGGAGAGCCTGCGTGGCATTTCCTGGAGAAGACGTAGCCAGGTGTTGGAATGGGGCGATGGAAATCACTCGCTCACCTACGCTTTCTCGTACGGATGCCCTGTAGTTGTAATGGCTGCGCATATACCAGAATCAAGACCAGTTCGTTGACCTCTCCAATCCACGATCAGCAGAATACAATCGCAAACGTGAAAGCAGGAATTCTTCGTTATTGGGATTCGGTTTACGCTCCGCGTACCAACGAGTACGAGATAACACCTTAAGGTCACGCAAGAGCGCTAAGTGTCATGTGGTACAAATGAACCTATCGCCGGCATCAAGCGAAGGGTCTTCTGAAGAGGTGAGTATAGCACGCCAATAACTTCGTGAGCGTCGAGTGCGGCGACGCACTTCGTGCACCGCATGGCGTAG